TCAAAGCACAGTGAAAGAGCATGCAATTGTTCTTGAGACCTGATGGCTGAGGCAGGAGGGTTTCAAGAGAAATAGATTTGTGTAATTTGTCCTATGAAAGGATGCTTTGAGCAGAGCTTTGCCAGGAGCTATGGCTTAGTGCTTTGGTGCACCCTGACTCTTCCAAGACTCTCCCGTATCCTCATAAGAAAGTTGTATTGTCTAAAGCAGTCTTTCAGTCCTCTGAAATCTAGGTAGAAATAATACCTTTTTTTTTTGCAGTTACAGTATTCTTTTGTTTGCAAGTGTTTATGTGACTATTGGATGTCAACAGTGTAAAACATCGTTTGGAAAAGCCATTGTGCAATCCTTTTTCTGGCCGATACCACTCTTCTCTGTTTTTAAGGGAACAGTCTTTGTGCAAATTCATTAAGAAAGAGTCATCTCAACTCTTCAGTTTAATTTCATTCAGTATTTATGGTAGCAAAGCTTGACCTCCTTAATACTAGTCTGTGAGCCCTCAGTAGTAGCATATGTCTGGCTGAGGTCATGCAAGTGCCTTCTTCAGGGCCCTTAAGTCACCTGAGACTTGTAAGCAGTTGTGTGAAACTTGTGTGCCAGAGATAGTTAGGTTAGTTGCATGTACCAGGACATGCCTGGCTGTGATAATTTAGAGGCTTCTGAGTTACCTACATCCTTGGCTGCAGGAAGGTGCAGATTTGATAGGAGGAAGCAGGCTTGTTAGGACTTTTCAGCCCATGTTTTCTCAGTGCGGTAGTAGGCTTCCTAGGAGCCACTGCCAGCTCATGTCTGTAAAAGAGCAGCACCCCTTTCACTCAGTTCTAGGAAAGTGAATGGCATTTTGTTTCTTAATTACAAGCCAAAATCTTTGTGGTTTTAGATGCTTCCATAGATACTGTCGGTAACATGCAATTGTATTTCTCTGTATACGAACTACATACTCTCATAATGTATAAAATCAGAGCAGTGATTTCAAGAGTATCTATAAAATTTCTGTTATTTTTGATTGTTAGATCTCTTGCTAAAATTCAAACTATTAGAAACAATACAGAAAGTTCTAAAGGTGTAAGTATTGATTTTTTTTTTTTCTCAGAAGCATAGGGTAAAATACTTAAGGATACAGTGGTATTGCTACAGAAGAGTTTTTATTTGCCAGTGTTCTATAAAATAATAGAATTGTCATTTGAAGGCTTTCTGACCATGAAGAATAGTAAAGTGAATGTAATTATTTAACAGACCTCCTTTTTAAAGAAGAACCCTGAACTTTTAGATGAGACATTTCATATTTGTCAGTTAGTTCTTTAATAAGCAATCACTGTGTCTCTGCTTATGTACACCTAAAACATGCATATATGTGAGTGTGTTTATATATTTTAAGTCTTTCATTGTAAGTTATATCAGGAAGTTCTGTCCCTTTTTTTAGTCTCCATAAAGACTTTATACTTGATTAAAAATGAAACAATGAAAATAATTTCAAAGCTAGATTTCAAGATATGCTTGGAAAAGTGCAAATGGGGTTGTATATCTCAAACAGATATTTGAATACTGAAGTCAATTCTGTTTTCATATTTTCTAGTTATCTATTTGCACTTAAGTAAGATGGTCTGTGTATTTTATTTGAAAGATAAGTTTCATAGACAACATATTTTACATCAGGATACTTAAATATATTTGTTCTGAAAAGTTCTGCAGCTTTTTTCCCATTTTTATCCTTGATGGTAGATTTTCAGTCATTGCATTTTTTAATCTGAATTCTGAAAGTAACTTCACTAATGTTTAATAGCTTTCAGCCGTGCATCTCGTCAGGACTATGGTGCAGTGGATCCTGGATTTACAATGAGGAGGAAAATGGAGCATTTAAGGGAAGAAAGGGAACAAATAAGACAGCTTCGCAATGTATGTACCATTATTTACTATATGCATGCAGTGTGTTTAGTTTGCTCTGTACCACAATTTAAACCTTTATAATAAAGGCCTGCAAATCATTACAGTTGTACAAGGGCATGTCTGTAGTGATATTTCTTCCCAAGGAAATTCATGTAACAGGCTACACTGGTACTATTTTTGGTCCAACCAAAATACTAACCAGGAACTAAATGGTTTTTTTAGCTGAAACATTAAGTGAAATTAAAAACGAGATTTTTTTTTTTTAGGTTTCTGAGGTTTTAGGTTTTCCTAGGGAGGTAATAAGTCTGCTTGTTTACTGCTATTTGATCTGAGATTTGAAGAAAGATGGTCATAGTCTTCTGAATAGCCAAATGCTTTTTGAGTGTAGAAAGTTGCTACAAGTCATACAATACTGAATGAAATCTAAATTTCGGACTTCCAGTAAGTTATCATTCTCAAGATATTTAACAGTTATAGTTAACTGTAAATCGTAGCAGCTCTGCTTTCCAGGGCAGTACTAATTTGGTGTGTGACTTCTATGAAGGCTGTTTCTGTCTTGAAACAGTTCACTTCCTGAGCAGTGAAGGCTTGTTGCTGGAGTGAGAAAAAACATTCCCTGCTTACCTTCCCTGTTTTGCAACACAAATGTGGGCACTTTGTGGCCACCCTTTCCTCAGCTATTTAAATGTCATCTGCACGAGTGAAATACCCATGCCCAAAGTGGTTGCGTTCCCCCCTTTTTCCTCCTTTTCCTAGTAAAATTGTGTATGATTTCAACCCACAAATTCTGCACACTAACAGCTAATGAGGTATTCAGCCTAACATGTCTGTCCTTAAATTCTGTGCTTTCCTATTATGAGTAGTGAGTTCATCGTATGGCTTTTATGGTAGTTGTTGGCTGAATGTCTTTCTCAATGTATGTAGTTGTGTCATTAAAAAAAAAAAAATCCAAGCAAAGGGAATGTAAGGTTAATGATAAAGGGATAAGAGAATGATAAAGAGAAAAGGATATCTGTACTCAGTAAAGTGCGAGTTGACTCCATTTACTTCACTTCAGTATTAAAATGTCCCTTTTAAACTGAATGCTTTAAAATACCCTGGATTTAGAATTAAAAACTAGCTAATGTTGAAAGTAACTTACTTATGGACTTTTTAATAGAATCTTGAATCAAGGTTGAAAGTAATTTTGCCAGATGACATTGGAGCAGCATTGATGGATGGAGTAGTTCTTTGCCATTTAGCCAATCACATAAGGCCACGTTCTGTTGCCAGCATTCACGTACCATCGCCAGCAGTGGTAAGTCATTTATCTTACTTTAGTTGCATCTTACGTGAAAACAAGCTTTTGAAGTTCAATACTAAAACATCATGAATCGTGTTTACCATATTAATTGGCTACATTCCTCACGTCAATTTTTCCTGCAAGAAGCACTAAGCAAGGCTCAGAAGTTTAGTTTAAGAACTATTTTCATATACTGAGTCTTCATAGAATTTGTTCTGTGTTTTAGCAACTGTTACTGAATTTGCATCAGAAATACACAATCCTTTACAAATGTATGATGAAGATCTAACATCCTGTCTTTACAGCCTAAACTCAGTATGGCAAAGTGCCGAAGAAATGTTGAAAACTTTCTCGATGCTTGTAAAAAATTGGGCGTTCCACAGGTATACTAATTGCTTTATTGACTTCTTAATAATAACCACAGAAATTGTCAGCAAATACTGAAGTTGGGGTTTTTTTGGGTCTTAATTCAGGGAGCAATAGTGATTATAACACTGACCAGGGAACTTGAAGATGTGAAAAGAAGTCCTATTTCTGGCCTGTGGCATGAACTTGAGGAAGCTACTTCATGGGTTTCTAGTCAGTTCCTTATAGTAAAAATAATACTGACTACCTTGTAAATTAAATTATCTAAACAAAAGAACTGATGCAAGAGGAGGATGATGATGTAATATTTTAAAGTCTTGAGTTTAGCAACTCACTTTGGCATGAATTTCAGTGTCTGCCTAGGAAAAATCCTGCAATTACAGAAATGTAGCCTAACTGATTAGCTATCTTTTCTAGCATGACTGTAATTGCAGCCCATTATTCATGCTTCTGTTGCCCAAGTTCATCCTCTCACTTCCCTGTATGAGGAAGGGGGGGAAACCTGAAGGTCAAATAATTTCCTGCATATTGCGAGAGACAAAAAACTCCCTTGACCCTTTTTAGTGGAACAAGAAAATTAGTTCATGGATTTAGAAGCCTGGGTTACTGCTCTGTCACAGCTTCTATCTAGCGTGGAGCCACAGGCCATTCAGAAGTAGAGATGCTAAGATTTACCTCCTGAATTACATGCAAGACGAGCTAGCAGTTGGGAAAATTGCCCAGGTTGTGCTAAATTTTGAAACTGAAAGATGACTTTCTTGGGGAATGGCTCATTATTAAGGACCCAGTCTATCTGCACTTCCAAGTTTTCCCAAGGGAAAAATTGGTAATAAGCCTACAAAAAAAGGCAAGGGGGAAGTAGGCTACTGAGCCAACAATGCCCATCATCCTGTTTGTCTTGCTCTGCTTATGAAAAGAAAGTCTTTGGCTTTATGAAATTAGCGGTCTTCTGATGTTGTCATAGTTTAACGCTTTAAACAGATCTTAGATATAATTAGTTTCTGACCATTCTGCTACTGTAGAGGACCATATGTGAAATTCAAGGCCAAAGACATTTTCTATGCAAGTGTCTTACAGCGATGTATGTGTGACTTCAGAGAGAATGCCTTTGTTACCTGCCTTGGGGAAAAAATGAATGAAGCTTGATAACACCTACTGCTTTATTTTGCAGGAGAGACTTTGCTTGCCTCATCACATTCTGGAGGAAAGGGGTCTGGTGAAGGTTGGCCTCACAGTTCAAGCTCTGCTTGAATTGCCAACGTTGAAAGTATCTCAGCTTTCCTCCATGTGACATGACTTCTTGGAAGCTAGACAACTTACCATTCAATCTGTTGATTTGGATTGCTCTGAGGCAGTTCAGCTTCCTACATGGGAACATCCAAGCCATCAAACTAGTATCTGTCCAGATGCTGTAGAGAGCCTTACTTGGAGTTGTACGTGAAAACCTTGGAGTCAGCTGACAGTTAAAAGAACATAATTATTATTTGTTTCTTTTGCAATTGGATGCACAAAGAGATTGTGGTAGCATCAGGTTCTCTTTCCAGTTAATTTAAGTTAAAAGCTGCCATTTAACATCTCACAGTATAACAGTTAAATGCTGGATTTCTTTTCCTACATTGAAAATATTGTTCGAATTATTTTAGAAGTACAAAGCACGCCCCCCTCCTTTAATCTTTCAAGTCAATAATTTGATTTAAAGGTAAGACAAAAATGTAGTGATGGTATGATGGTAAAAATGCGAGCGACTGATCACTTGTGATCCACTTTCACTCTCTCAGAAAGCTTAATATTTGCGTTATTTTTTGCACTCCTGATTGTAACTTACACACTTCTAACATTGCCAGTATTTAGGCTGAGTGTATGGTGATTACACAAAACAGTGTACAATGGAAAAGGACATATTTTATTAAGTTTTTTCCAGTCTTCTAGGTTGGTGCCAAATATTTTTTTCAGTTGTACTGTAGATTGTTTACATGTGAAGTGCCTGTGTAATTGATAACTCTTAATAGTCTTAAACATTTTTGAAATTTCTTTGTTTAAAATAGATAAAATGGAAATTTTTAAATATTTTAATAGTTTTTTGTAAAATCAGTATGTGAAGATTTAAGTAATACTTCACATTTTTGATGTTGGGTGTTTTAAGTTTGTTGCACAACTTAATCGGTTATTTTGTTGTCTAATAATTAGAAAATACTGTAAATACTTTTTATTTATGATATTTAATTTGATAATACCTAATCACTTTTGGTTTAATGTATTGTTGGACAAAAAAAGTTGTCTACTTTTTGTTTGGGACAAACAAATATACACGGTGAGTAAGACATGAGAACTAGTGATGCATACAGAGTAATTTAGGACATTTTGATAAAACTGCCAAAATCTCAGGTTTATGCTGTGACTTTCAGGATTTTGTGTAATATTGCTCCTGATCTCACATTACATTTTTACAACAGGTATATCCATAATTTAGTTGAGAAATATCAGTGTTATCTTTTTAGTGTTTACGGGATTTATTGTGTAATTTACACAAGTGTGGCATAGCACACAAATCAGTTTGTACAAATGGCACTGTGCTGAGACATTAGACTTTTCTGGATAAATGTGAAAAAAAATTTTCCACTGTGGTGGTTTTTTGAAACTTCTGAGTTTATGTATTTGTTTGCTTCTGCACAAATTCTCGGTATTTTGAGAACATTCTGAAACCATACACAGTTGAGTTCTTCTCCAAACAACTTGCAAATAATTTCATAATTTTAGTAATAAATCTGTTTGCATTAGTTTGTTCATGAATAGGTAGCTCAATTAAAAAAAAAAGTTCTGACTGTCACAGATTTTCTATTTCAGGCTAAGTTAATTTCCATTGAGGGATACGTTTGCCAAGTGTGTAACAAGATTTGATTCTGTTCTTTCCAATTGATCAAGACCGCATGTAATATAATTCATAAAAGAATGAGGGAGGGATATAATTTACTCCTTACTTCATTTACTATAGTCCTTAAAATCAGTAGCTGAGAGGAAAAATAACTACTTCTGATGACAAGATTTTTTTTTTAAAGATACATTATTTTTAATTCCATTGAAACATGCTGATTCATGTGTAATAGTTAAAAACCACTATTACTTATATAGTGTTTTCTTAAAATACAGCTCATGGAAAGGCCGGTGTAAAACTTAATTTGCAAAGTCCTAGATATAAATCTTAGGTGACATAAGTACTTGTTTAAGGAAACCGGATTGCTTTGGCCTTGGAAATATGGTGTTTCAAATCTCTAATTGTTTTTTAAATCATTCACATAATACTCATTTTAACAACTTCAATCTCTTATTTTTCATTGAAGGCAGTGTCTGAAAAGTCATGCTAAGACTAAAATGAAAAAGTAATTTAATTCATTAAAGAAAATGCTTGTCTGCTACGTTTGAAGAACACAATCATTCAGAAAGAATAAGTCATTGTCTTTCAATTCCTTGCTATGGTATTTGACAACAACAACAAAGTTCTATTTCAGTACATTAGCCATAGAATTGCTAACTGTAAATTGTTACTTTCAGTTATCTGGCTTAAACTGATCTACGCTACTATTTCATTGTCATATTTAAATATGTTTTCTGATCTTAAAGTAACTTTTTTCCTACTAGAACTAAATTTATAAAGTTATATCGCAGTGTAAACATTAAGAATTCCCTTGATGTAGCATGCCCGATGCTTACCAGTTTTTTTTAAGCTTACCTTATTTCCTAAGTAACTTGAAAACTGGATATGAAATTAATGTAATCATTTTAAACTGTATCTCAGAAGTTGTAAACTACTAAAAAATCTTTTTTTTTTAGTAGTCTGGAGTTCTTCCCCACAAACTTGCTAGAAACAGTCTTGCTTTGCCATTCGTTGGAAATTATGGCCGCCTTCATGCTTATGGGGAAGGATAACCATGATTCTTCCTGGGCTTCCTTTTTAGCATTGCAAAGATTAAGGCCTTCAAGTATCCTTAGGAGCAATCAGAGAAAAGGTCCACTATGCCTGGATGAATCTTTTACCATCTTTCTTTAGCTGCTTTTACAAATAATAATAATCTAAAGCCTTGCTAAAATTGGCTGTTCCCATCGTGATTTTTTTAGGAGCAACTGCAAAAAAGATGCTAAAAAAGTTTTGAATTTTAAGTTTTAATTTTAAAGCAGCCTGTGGAAATTGTTGCTGTTTTCCCTGTACAAGAATTTGCCTACTATCCCCTTTCTGCCTTTCCATTTGATTCCCAGCATCTTCTTACTTATTTTTTTGTTCACAGATCTAGTGACTCCACATTTTCCATTACTGCATGCCACTTTCCTCCTTCCTCTTTACTTTTTTAAGAAATTGCTCCAGTGGCATTGGTGAACTACTGTGATTGCAGAATCCCTGCTCTCAACATTTAGTATGTTTGAGATACCCTTTTCCTATTTTGTTTAGGATGAAATGTCATCACTTAATACTTGGTACAGCTGATAGGATGGTTAAAAACAGAGGCCTGCCCAATTCCTATTGTAGTCACTCAGTTTTTACTTCGGATGTGAAGAAAAGTCAACATTAAAAGCTTTAGGAAACTGCATTAAGTTTTCCTAATAAATTTAAGAGTTAACTAGGGTGCTTTTGTTATTGTGAATGCTATACAAAGTTACTGCAATAATGTGGTATGAACTGTAAATTACAGAGTGAATCAACATACTGACAGGGCTTCTGTCTTGTGTATTTCTTCCATTTTTCATTGGATGCAGTATGTTGCACATGAATGATCTTTCATTTAAGCAGTAATGTCCCAGATATCGTGAGATCTTAAAGCAGTAGCATCAAAATAATTTTTGTAAAGCGTGGTGACTTCCCACACATATCTCAGAAATGCTTCACATCCGTTATATAATACTGCTAATCCGGTGTGCTAGCTGGGGCACTGCTGAGGATGCAAAAAACCATCTATACCCATGTATCTGGAGGCCTTCCAAAAATATAACCAAGAACTAAAATTATCATAAATTATGGAGGAGTACATTTGAAACAATAAATAACTATGACATCATAATTTCTGGGTAAAATCCTAGCTTTGCTGATATCAATGCAAGTTTTGCTCTTGACTTCAGTAAAGATTTCACCTTTTTAACTTATGCAATACCTGAGCTGGAGACCATAGCAAACATGGCTTAAACTTGTCTGACACTAGCAAAGCTTTAGTGTCAAATTCTTGACTAAAAACAGTGATCTCTGGTAAGTCAAAGGAAGCTGTAAAATATTACACTGATTAATTTATTTAATACAAATTTTCTGATATACCATATGCAGTATTAAGACAGTAGGAAAAATTACTTTGGAGCACAGCTTTCATACTATGGGAAGGTGTGTCACCTCAATAAAATTGCAGGTGAGGACTACCATCAGTTATTTACTGCACTGAAAACCTTATTTGTAATATCTTATCATTTAGCAGTAGTCTTCTCTGATTTTGACATAAATTTGTAGCCAAATTCAAACAAATATCTTGTATATCTGTATTGCAGCTTGTAACCTCTGCAGGTTACAAGCTCCAGTCTGCCTGTTTGTCTTGTAGTTGGTCTGTATACCAATGCAGAGATAAAGCACGTTAATAATTCAACTGACTTCAACTGAAAGCAACTTGTAGGAGTTTTTAGCATTTTCTGCAGATAGGAGATGATTTTGTATTGGTAAATCAAATTTCTCTTTTTCCTCGTTAAGTCAGGCTAATGTATGTGTTTCTTTCAAGAGGTATGTCATATTAAGCAGTGATCTGTACTTGAAAAACAAAAGCAAATAAACAAAACACCACCCCAACACACACAAAACTGGTGAAATATTTCCTGTTTACAGGTGACTCTTTGGAATTTAAAAAAAAAACCAACAAAACATTAAGACCAGGAATGGGAAAGGCAAAGTGTAATTGTCCAAGGAGAGGGTGCTCTGAGTTGATTTGACGTTGAATCACTTCACAATGAAAAGCCTTTAGATCTAGTAGAGAAAGAAATAGATGTTTTGTATCTACTTCATGCTGAGGGAGGTGGATCCTTAAGTACATGGAGCTTTCCGTAGAGGTTACAATAACAAGATATTTGGCATCTTCATTTTCCCAAAGACTTTATATTTTGGATAGCTCTATCCCAGTGCTGCAGGAAGCATTGTTGATTGTAGAGAGAACACTGCCCATTCCAAGCCCTGGGTAGGGTACCTAGCTGGTGCCATTTGCACTACCCTCTGGCTTTGTAATGACGAGACTGGCCTGCGTGGTGCAACTTCTGAAGGAAACACCTCCTTGCTTCATGCTGCTGCCTCCTCGTGCATAGGCTGCAGAATTCTTTTAAATAGATGTTTGCAATCAGAATAAAAATACTAAGGAAAGTGATAACTTTACTTGAGAGTAATAGATGTTTACCAATATTTAACTTCCACCAGCAAAGAATGATGTAGTGAGACAGAGGAAGCTTGCTGTAGGAACTACAGAACTTCACTGATTGAAAATTGCACCATGACTCTTAACAGGTTAGTGTGTCACTTGTCCTCTCGTGTGAGTGAATCAAAACAGTAATACTGTTTCTTGTTCCACACGCAACACACTGTGGGGTATATGTAATTCATTTACAAATGGAGGGAAAGGCGAACTGTATTTTTTTTTTAATCAGGAATTTTATGGCACAGATTTTTTTTTTGTAAAATGAATGTGAAGGTAAAAAGTTATTCTCTTCCTGTGAAGAAAATTTCTGCTGATCTTGACTGATAAAATAGAGAGCACAGGTGATTAACTGAATTTTAGTTTAAACTTGCCACTGCACGGGAGCAGTTCTGGCTCCTGTGTTTCTTACATAATAAAATGCCGCTTTGCTTTATTTGTCTTTAAGTATTTCACATAGTACAATTCTGACAACATATTATCTTAAAATTGTGGTTATATGCAGTATTTGTTCCCTCATTGTTTTTGACCTTTTCTTTTCTTTTTTTCAACATGGGAGGCAAAGGGAGGCAAAATTGCTATAAGCTACTTGATTAATTTCTATGGAAAGAATACAAGTTATTATAAAGATGACAGTCATTTTTAGTTCAAATGTTTTGTAGCTAACTACATTTTCAAAGAAGAATTTTTAATGTGGTTTCTCC